TAATAAAGATATAATCGTCCAAAAAATTATTCTCAGATGTGATATTTAATATATTATAGATATATTTTAGGTAAGATTTTCACGCAAAATTGTACGAGACAAAATCATACAACCACTTCATGTAAAAATTCAACTTTCAGTCTATAGTTTAATTTTGTTAGTACTAATAGTTAGTAAAAAAATAATTATCACATATGAATAACTAAATTTGTTTATTTAAAAATTTATTCATCTGCTTAGGCTATCACGTAAAATATCTTACACGAATATCTGAAATCAATTAATAAATTAATGAAAGATTTTTTAATTTATATTTAATAGAAGTAGTAAATATCAAATAATCCAATTATATTCACCTCAAACGAACCTACCCCAAACACCGCCTTATTCTTTTCTAACCGGATAGACCCCCACACTGTCCCATTCCCATACAAATTTCAGTTCTTTTCTGCATTCTGTCTAACCCAGAAACCCATTCCACCCAATCCGATATCACGTTATCCCAATCAATTTGACCTATCCAAACCCACCTCTATAAAACCCAAATTTATCTGCAAAACCCTTTTCAAGCTCTCAACAATGGCGTTTTTCAAACCTTCGATTTGTTTTCTTTTCCTTTTCTTCGTTATGTCTAATGCCCTTGATATGTCAATCATAACGTACGACCAGAACCACAACATGGGCCATACTCTACGACGTTCCGACGATGAACTCATGTCTATGTACGAATCTTGGCTCGTGAAGCACGGGAAGGCGTACAATGGCATTGGAGAGAAGGAGAGGAGGTTCGAGATTTTTAAGGATAATTTGAGGTTTATCGATGAGCACAACTCCGTCGACAGGACGTACAAGGTCGGGTTGAACCGTTTCTCCGATCTGACCAGTGAGGAGTACCGGTCCTTGTTTGTGGGCGGTAGATTGTACAGGAAAACTCGGTTGATGAACAGTGTGAAGAATGACCGTTACAAGTTCAAGGCCGGCGACAAGTTGCCGGCCTCCGTTGACTGGAGAGAGAAAGGTGCCGTTGCTCCTGTCAAGGATCAAGGCCAATGTGGTATGTTTCTAATTTATGCTATATAAAACTCGTAACATCTGATTCGTCGGTAAAAACCCTATATATCTACTGTGCATATATATGTTTCGTGTGAGATTTTTGTGCTTTCATGGGACGAGGAGACTTGGAGGGGCGATAGTGGGACCCGGAGATGGATTTTTGATAGCAGTCCCGGGTCGGGTCATTCGTGGTTCTAATGATTGGTACTTTTTTGTTTGTTTGTTTCTGCTAGGGTTCCAGGCTCTTAATTTTTAAGAAATTAATATTTTATATAATTTTGTAATCTTCTTCAAATTGGAGTGAAAATTATATAAGGACATTTGTTCCCCTCCTTTGTCAATTTAACGAATTCCATACCTAGAAAATTAGGGGTTTGTATCATCAACGCTGGAAGCCTATTAAAAGATTAAGTTGAACATTTTATTTAACACCCCAACAATATTTGCATCACGAATATCGAGTTTGAAGATGGTGCTTGGAATCCTTAATGCGGGAAACTCCCTTCCGACCCTCGATTCAGTATTTCTTTGAAAATAAAATACTTGATTCTATAAGCCCCTCTTTGATGGCCATTATTTGGGTAAAACGCTGTTTTGAATAGTGTTTTTTAGGAGATGAGCGAGATATTTTATCGTGTGAACGTGTGGTTGAAAATGAGTACGTAAAAAAAAAAAAAAAGAAGAGTTTTCAAATAATGGTGGTCAAACAGAAGGTAAATTTGTTGTGGTGTACTTGACAAGTAATTTATTGGTAATGTAGGTTAGATGTGATCGAGTTCTAATTGAATTGGATTGATAGAGTTCAGTTTGAATTGAATTTGTTTAGGTTTAAAATCTGGTCTTTATGTTTTACACAGAGATTTTGGTCGATAGAGCTCATCCTCCGATTGTATTCTATTGTTGCATGAACTCCTTGGACAAGATGTTCTCGTAATTGTGGAGCAAGCATTATTTTTTAGCACTAACAATATTTATTTTCCTTGTTAAACTTCTTGATTTACTTGAATATATCCGAGTCTCTAGTATCGTAGTTGATATTGGAATCTATGAACGCTGTCTATATAATTTGGCCTTGATAGCTCAAGATTTGGTTATTTTCTAATGAAGGGAGTTGCTGGGCTTTCTCGACTGTCGGTGCTGTTGAAGGGATAAACAAGATTGTAACTGGCAACCTAATATCTTTGTCAGAGCAAGAGCTCATAGATTGTGATAGGTCATACAATCAGGGATGTAATGGTGGTCTAATGGACTATGGGTTTGAGTTTATAAAAAAGAATGGTGGGATTGATACAGAGGAAGATTATCCTTACCGAGCACATGATGGCACTTGTGATCAAAATCGGGTATAGAATATAAACGTTTGGTTATTTAGTGCTTCGCTTT